AGAATGCGAATAATGTTATTTTGACGCAATACACAAATGTGTTAAGAATTTTTCACTAAGGATAACAAACAGTTACACATAATTTACTAGGATATGTTGATAGACTGTGTCAGAGCTAAATTTGAAAATCGAATTAGCTATTTGCTTTATTGTATTTTAATCTGACATACCCAGTTTAAAATATAGACATAATTTATCATACATGGATTCAGTTTGCCTGCAGGACGACCTCATCTTTTATCTATAAGAGGAATAAATGTAATTTAAAAGAGATAATTGCATCGACGAAATCAGTATTTTTCCAAAGATCACTTCGCAAAAATTATCACACTTTCTATTTATCCATTTAGTTTTTATCCTCGCTAATGTTAATTTTGGCAGTGTAGTTAAACTTTGCACGAGAAAAACTCTTCATCTATGTATGTTTTGTGTATATTTGAAGCATTAGCCAGTCTACAAATTCGGGTCTCAAAAAAATAAGTATATCCATTGGTTTTACCGTGGCCTTAACATTTTTGCAGTGTAGTTTTTGTATTACTTCCCTTGTAATTTTCCAGAAGCAGAAATTCAATTATTATTAGGTGGTTTTAACTATTTCACTTTCGTTTTTCTTCACTTTTTTAACCATCCTCAGAATTTCCAGAATTTGGCCCGTGTTAAGTAACATTTCAAATATTCAGTTGCTACACTTATCTTCACAATTCATTTGATTGACATTTAACCAGATATTCCTCTGAATTTTCCTATACTTTGAATAGTATTTTTGTGAAAAGACAGCTTTCAGAATGAACCCTTGAGAAGATGTTCACGGAGAAAATAAACATCTTTACATTTTTTCTACTTCTTTGTCATTTAGGGTAGAGGACACTTATCAAAATGAATTCATTGACATTTACTTCCATTTGAAGTAAATGCTGAGAAATTCACCTAGCTAGGTGATGAAATGTCCAGGAGCTAATCTCAAATCCCAGAGAACGCCAAACGATTATCATTCGTTTCCTGAGCTAAAGATGTTCTCTACTGCATCTGTGGAGTCTTCAGGACTTAACCTTTCCGTATGATGGTTGAATTTTACTTTTCTACTACAATACTTCACAATAAATCACTCGGATTCTCATAATAGAGTTGATTGATACTAATGCCTTACTCACGGTGGACCATTTGAGTTTTTAGTTGCCGTTTATTGTAAACTACTTTGTAATGTACGCGAACTCCAATATATGTTAAGTGTGAGAACTTATTGATTTACAGTCAATAACATGCCCATTTTTTCAGCATACTTTTAAAGTCAGGTGTAGCAAAAAGGTGACAGGAAAAATTGAATTCTGATAATTAAAGGAAGGTTATGCTTGTCTGTTTTACCATTCCGGACGACAAGGATTTTCTCTAATCTGCAACACGTGATAAACGGTCATACATAATCACTGAGATAATCAATTTTCTATCTGGTAATTTGCTAGTCCTTTAAAATTCCCCTTCGATTCATTTTTCTTCTATTGGTCAAGCTAACTGGATTTGACAGGCTACTTTCATTTACGAATGTCGATAGTTTCAATTATAACTGTCACACTTTAGATGCACAGAAACAGGGACATCTCATTTTACTAATAGGCCACACATCACTGGCTAATAACTAAAATCGAAGTTCATTTATCTTTTCACCACAGTCATTAAGCTTTTAAAAAAAACTTGTTTAAGTAGATTAGTGTCTCCCACCATACATTTGAAAACACACCCACACACATGCACCAATCTGGTCGTATACGCACGCATATTTCCACACTTTTGACATACATCTATGCATATGGTTATTTTGTTAATTTCCTTTTCCTTTACATAAGGTGGTCTACACAAAGTATTTTGGCGCCATTATCAGTATTACAGTACAAGAGAAATAATAAGTGAAAAACTTTGTATTTTTAAAAATCGTATAAATTATATTTTCAGCAGATATGTCTGTTTGCAAAGAAAACAGTTAGATGTATACATATTGGCAGAAGATTGTTTATGTACAGTTACACGCGCCTTTGTGAAACCGTTAGGTAGTCAATACAACAACGGCAACAACTGAAGATTATATCGTTGTGGTTAGAATTAAACACAGCCTCCTTTAAAAGAATATGTATATATATGTATGACATTTTTAGCTTAATAAATTATCTAGACAGTCTAAGATGTGTGTATGTTTAAAACAGAGTATCAGAAGGAAATACGCGCTAGTTTTTAAAATTCGTATTGTTGAACTTCTCTTCTAAAATTGACACTTGATGATTATGTTGCTAATGAGGTTGATAACAATCACAAAGAAGTACACCGAAGTCTCTGATTCCACCTTTCAGTGAAGTAGGGAAAATGAACCCTTGTCATATAGCAAGCGATTAGAAGGAGATATTTATGTGGTTGTGCATTTACACAACTGTTTACATATCAATAACATCAGTTCTTATAGTTCCACACTTCATTTGAATTTTACCATTACTATTGTAGTATCATCTGAATCGATTAACTCTGCGATTTATGGCAAATTTTCCTTACTTTGTGGTAATCTGTGCTTCCTAAACTAAATTAAATTAGTAGTTTTTTCCCTTTCAGCTACAATGTCACGAAAAATAAAAATTTTGCTATTAAGACATAATGAGTAGTCAACATGAGGGTGTGCTGAAGTAACAGTTCACATAAAGCTGTTTACTTGTTGACTGTTGTTTCCACACTATATACATTTGATTAAAGATACAAAATTGGGAAAACCTGGTTTCTCACATGTTTGCAAACATTGACTTCAAAAATAGAATGTGGTATGATATTTATACTGGTTGTATTTAAGTAAAATTTTGATTGTTATATTTGCTTCCTAAAATAAAAGCCATCAACAATATAGTAGTCAAATAATTTTTGGACTGTGTAGCCAGTGACTACAAACAGACAGACAGTTGTAGAAATATTCAAAACCTGACATAATCCCATATAGCCCCAAGTTACCACTGTTCACATGATCATAGGAAGGTAGAATCCAGATGAAGCACAAAGGAGTAAAAATTATTGAAAAGCAAGGTAAAATGATACTAGTATCAGTAAATCATGATTAAGTGTTTTCAGTTTTGACTAAAAAACGATGTGAATGGATGCTGAATATTGAGATCGGTCTTCAGGCATTTCGCCCCCAAAAGTCTTGATAAACTGTTCTTGACTGTCACATCTAAATTGCTCTAAACAGCTCAAAATGATGGTCAAAAGCTCCAAAACAACTGCTAAGTTCTTGGTTGGAGTTTTCAACTAATTTGGATTTAAATTTTTATTCATGTTACCGACTATGGAACTTGTTTTCGAAAAGATTCAGTTTCATATCAGATTACCTGATTAATCCTCATAACACTCACATTCAGACAACCTACTAACTACCATATTTTTATAGAATCTTTGGTCCTTTCTGTTACAGACATATTTTGCTGTTAGTTTGTGTTACATTACTGCCTCTCAAGACAAGTAAATATCATTTTCAATATCTGCCAAAAATCTTCAACTCTAACTCAGTCTTAACTAGTTGGTTGAACTGGGTGACCTGAACAATACTTAGATTTGGTTTACGTAAAATCGTTCCGTCTCAACTTGTCGGACTGAATTATTGTATTATGAGTGGTCTTCAGCATGTATATAGAATTCAGCCATTCAACCACTGTTTGGAAATTTAGAAGTAATAATATCTTTTTCAATCGAAACAAAAATCGAGATAATAAGTTGACTTGAGAATTTTTTACATAAATTATGAATATTATTAATAGTGAAGTGTCAACCGACCAGCTCTCTTCCTTTTTCTTTTTTTTCCTTCCGTAAAACCTGTAGCTGAGCGCATTCCGATCCGGATGAGTCTTAAATACCAAGAACCCAAAAATAATTACTGTATAACTCAAAAAGCGGTTGCTGTAGCATCTAAAATTAACACCTGGTTTTACTCTTATAAAAGAGACATAATAATGCAAGTTCGGAAAATTTGTTGACGTTTACTTTACGGATGAGTAAATTGATGGCTTGACATTTATAGGAAAATCGCTGTACTTACTTTCGAAAGTGCACCAAAAATAATAACTAGCCTTCTTTTGGAATTTCCATGCAAAATAGTCCCGTCTTAAATACTGGTTATCGTTTTACTTCCTGATCAGCTAGATATCATACTGTTGCATTTTAGTTAATCTGAAATCGTTAGATTTTATTCCTCTCCAGAGTTGGTTTTGAGTGTTATCTTAAAGCTTGACCCAATTCTTCCTTGGTTCAAAGATGAAGGAGACGCTTATTAATACATCTGGAAACATGTCCACGAGGCCTAAAATGGTTCTGAAAATAACTGCTGTGTGTATGCGAATGAGTTATGCAGCGACTTCTCATATCAGTAACCAAAGTAAAGTGCTGATCAACGGTCATGCCTCAGAACACCTCTAACAACAAAAGCATGGAAACAAAAGTAAACTCTCTTTTAACCCGTAAACCCTGGTTTGCGTTCATTTATGAACTGTGACGCTGACTGTCATGTGAGGTGATATACTTTTCGTAACTGTTCATGCATTTCTACCAAATCATAAATACCTCCATAACACGGAGGAATAATTTTTAAGCTAAGATGATTTTTTTACTTATGGGTTTTTGTCTTCATTGTCTTGATGAATAAAAGTGTACAAAAATCAAAACTAATCTGTAGAACAAACGGGTGCTATAGAGCAAACAGTGAGTTGTGTTTTATTCACTTGCTGAACTCTCACATACATACACACAGAATGACAATGTAACCGTAGATTCTTCAAATATTCCAACATCAGAAATGTCGCCATTAGCAACATTATCTCAGTGATCTTCATTTTAGCCTTTAAATTATTTTCAATTCGTTTACATGGCTAGAATTTTAAGCCAATGAAAGCGTTTTAAAATGTACACCCCTAATTTATTAAAAGTTACCTAACCAATGATATTCCACTTTACCTGGTGTTGTGGTATTGTATGAAAATTTTCTTACGGTGTGAAGAGTATGAAATGTACGCCTTAAGCAGCGTTGTCAATTTCTTCCACATAATCTGATAGTGTAGGTGATCGCATATAATAGCTTATGTCTGTCCTAACAACAGTTCTATCCCACCCTTATTTCAAGCGTGTGGGTTATGTGTACTTATATCTGTTTTTCTATCCTTGTCTCTTCCATTTTCTCTCTGCCTCTCGTTTTTATAAAACTTTCTCTCTTTCATACAAATGATAAATAGAATTATAAGATAATGGGGGAAAAGTCAGTTATTTCATATCTGTCGATTGTAGGTCATACGGCGCCAAACTTAATACCTTGGCGACAATCAATCGGCGCCATTAGTCAACATCCAAAGCAGTAGTAACCTTATGAATGCATCCTTATGCTATGGAAACAGGAAGGACAAAACTATACAATTTGACGCCGTCAACAGTTATATTTCTCAAAACGTCTAACTTTAGTCGTCTATCATTAAAAGATTTCTTTTCAATACCAAAAATTATTTCTGCATACAAATTCAGTGAATTTTTCAATAATGTATGCGGAAAATTTTTACAACTAAAGTATTCAGTTGAGAAAACTGGATCGTATCATCTCACATCATCTATCAGAAAAAGACAACTTTTAAACAGGATATGCAAATTTATTTGCGTCAATTTGAATAAGACAACTTTGCTAATTATTTGTAATAATGCATTTGATAAACTAAAAATTTGCTTTTTTTATTTACAATTTGTTACCCAACTGTTATTTATCACATATTGTATTTCACATCACACCAATAAACTTAAGCATTTAATTTACACTAAAGTTGATGATGATAATGATGTTAAAGTTGGTTGCAGACATTTCACTAGACAATCAGTACTTCATTCGAATGAAACAAAATCTGTAAAACCCTCATCAACAACATGCTGTACAACTGACACATTAACACAAAAATGCTATGACAAGGCTCCTAATAAGTTGTGGAGAGCGAATTTTTGTATTTATTTCACGTGGGTTATCATCATTGTTTTTCTGAGTATTTTCAATACCAGAACAATAGAGGCCATTGAACAAGGTCAAGAATCCGCCAGTTTACCGAATCAATATAATTTAATTAATTTACTACAGTCTTTATCATCAATTGGAAAACAGCTGAATTCTGAAATTTTAACAGAATCTGAGCTAAGAACATGGAATTATTTACTGGAAAAAATATTAAAAACACAAATAAATTTATTAAAAGATAACCAACGTTTGGATTATACACCCAGTATGACAACTGCTAGCGGAGTAAATAGTATCAGCAGGGAATTTTCAAAATATGATAAGAATATTCGAAAACCTTCAAAAGCGGAGTTGACTGCTAAAACACCAAGTTACATGTTCAAGTTACATGAACGTCATATGAATGATTGGCATAGTTTTCGACGTTTTGAGGATAATCACTTACTTCATCCAGATTATGAAAAGTATTTGAGTGAAAACCAGTTTTCAGCAGATAATATTAATCAAAATGAAAAAGAAAAGAAGCAAACAGAACATCACCATCGTCATCACCTCGGCATGATCACAGCAATAAGACATCACAAGTATATTGGTAAGTCGATGTTCATTTTCTATTGGGACTATCGATGGTTGAATAAATTTTACGGCAGTGTAAATCATCTGATCACATCTTTTCAAAAATATTAAAAATGTATTCAGCAGTTTTAAGGTCTCGTAACTATATCTTTTAGGCCGATTCTTGTAGGAAGCCACCAAAAATATTCAGTGAAAAACAAACATAAATTCAGCACCTATTAATGATCTCCAAACCGTCTTGCTTTTTGAGAATGTTTTCGCTACAATACAAGATTAGATCTTGGAGAGAAGCCTTGTAAATAATTCGAAAAACGGGATCACATCATAAGTGATCAATTTTCCAAGTTATGAATCAGGGTTATAGATTGCATTGAAGGTGTAACCGTCAATTATTTGTCTTGTGAATCAGCAAAATCTTTTATTGTACCACGTCATCAAGGTTTATTTTACATTCACTGGCACTTAATTTTCCTTGATTTTTAAGACGTTTAACTATATCAATATTTCAATTTGAGGGTGTGTGGTGCTGGTTGCCTTGTATCTCGAACTGATAGGAAATTGGAGGTGAGAAAATACGAACCACTGGATTCCGACCTGGTAGCTGAATGACTGAGGTGGTCCCTGTGAAACCTGATCCGTTTGGTCCCCAATGAGGTCGTGGGTACTTACTGCTTAAACATTCCATACTGGAACTAAATAGCTGCCCAATGCTGTCAAGTTTTCATTGATTCTAAAACTGATATATGTTTGTGATGAATAATAATTTGTAAACTAATATTATTTTACAACCAATATGCAGTCACTGCTAAATTTCCTTTCCAAGTGTAATATTAACATTGGGTAAAATATGGATTTTTTAACTCGCCTATAATTTGTTGAAGGTCTAAAGCTATGACGCATTTCAGGGTTTTGTTCAAAATCTGAGTATCTTTTGAATTTCCTTTTAGACTTCAGATGGCCTGCATACATTCTTAGTTTAGGGATATTGAGTGAAGTGAGGCGATGTTTCCAGCGCCTCACATTCTAAGATAAACATCAATAATATAGCCAGGTTATGGCCGGAATCTAAAGATGGTGAATTTTCCACCTGCCGAAATACATCATATCTTTATCGCCAAGACATGTGACCACCCATCAGAGTGCAAGTCATATGTTCAACAATCGCTTCCGTCTAATTAATGTGAGCTTTTGAGACGTAAATGTGACCGAAGGAAGATAATGGAGAGCTGCGCGTTTCCAATGCCACGTATCCTTGTGATACTGATGCTGCGTGAGAAAATAAAATCGTCAATAATATCTAGGCTACATATAGTGCGCTAGAAAAGCAGTGTTAATCATTCAGTGTGAGAGTCAGCATGCACTGAGTGAGGTGACTTGGGCTTGAATTGCACACACCTTTACATAATTTCATACAATTCGTTGGTAACTGCAGCAGGACGAAGTCTTAGGTAGGTATGGTATCACCAAACCAGTAAATGACATGAATTCACAGAATCTCCAGCTGTTGACTAGGGCCTGGTAAGGAAGTGCATGCTACTCAGTTGAAGTCCTAAGACCTTAAAAATCAGTAGTTAACGACATTTTGTGAATGAGTTTAAAATCCACCACAGTGGTGCGGTTGTATTCACTGCTAATTATTTTCGAAATATCTAACATCCTAATCAACAAATTAGTTTTTTCTGTCCTACCTTATTCATTTGTTTAGTTGAATGTCTATTTAATTTGATTTACCTACGTTTAAGTCTTGTTGTGAACTGTTGTAAGTTGAAATGATGCACTTCTATGCAGAGTTTTACTTTCTCTTGTTTGTCATTAATACAGTTTTCATCATTACGTTGTCATATGTAAGTCAGTTGAAATTATCTGCTAACCGACTGTTAACTAACAACTAAGTTGCTGAAATAAAATACTGTTTAGAACCTATATAATATTTCAGTTTTCTTTTGTACATTTTAAAGTTTTTGCTAAGCATTTTTTTGAACTGCATTAATTGGTGAGATATTTTCTGATAAGAAATGTAAGACCCAATGTCCTTAAGTTTGGAGATTTATTACATCTAAGATTTAGAGTGCTAGACCTATGCTATGGCACTTGCTTTAGTCGACAATATCAATTTCTTTAGCTTTTATTAAATAGATCTGGGTTAAAGCCTGTTTAACATGCTCGAAAGTTAATATTAACCGTATTACCAAAGTAGATAAAAACAATTTTTTATCGTTTTGACTGTCTGGAATTGCCGTAGTTTGGCAGATTAGTATCGATACTGGACGATGATTGAAGGTGAAGTGGAAATTTAGACTACTACCGGATTCTAACTGGCGACCACCGAGTTTCCTGTCCTATGCTTTATCAGGCGAGTTATGAGGTCCAGCTGCTGACCAGATTTTTATTTCACTTCAATCACCAAGGATTTTGCCCGACTACCATGGTTATTTCAGATAGTCAAAATGATAACCAACATGATGCTTCTCCTCTCTAATTTAGTTAGATTTGGGTTGGGATGAGAAGTTTCGACCAGACAAATAGTATGAATACAGTCAAGAGATATTAACCCGTCACGAATTCACTTGACAGTTGGGCAGAACCCTTGGTGATTGAAGTGAAATAAAAGTCTGATCAGCAGTCGAACATCGTAGCTCAACTGGTAGAGCATCGGGCCGGAAACATAGTGGTTGCTGGTTCGAATCCGGCCGCGGACCAGATTTTCGTTTTATCTTCAGTCACCACTCAGTATCAAAAATAATCTTGTTAAAGTTGCATAAGGATATAGAACGTTTCTTTTCTTAGGCATACCCAAACAAATCCTACCAGATGTTCTTTCCGGACTGAAGGTACTTGAAATGCTGTAAGTATTCGGCTTACCATTTCCTGCAAGAATGTAGATCAAGCAGTGAAGGGACTTTAAATACCTCTGGAAGCTCTTTCGAAGCAAAATAGGAGCACATACACACGAGTCCTCTGAGAACATTTGTTGCCTGACATAAGTTATATTTCATATTTGTGTAAGTCACAGGCTTCCATGCAAAACGTTGAAATTATTCTGTTTCAAACAGGCTGTAATGTACAAAAATACAAACTATATCTAATGTCAAACCTTTACTCAGTGCCAAATATCTGCGAAACCATTCGGTCAAATCTTGATCATAGTTCATATAAACTTGTATCCTACACTACAGTTCTTGTCAAAATTTTTGCGTTTCAAGCAAAACAATTTATTGAATTTTGATGTCACCCAGAAACTTTATGCGTATTCCAATCTTCAGTAGTGACCAGAGTTTGTTGTACTAGAGTATAAGTTGATCAAAGGATATTTTATATTGCAAGTTTTGAAGAAACAGCCATTTTTATGCTGCCATTGGAAGTTAGGGTGCAAATGTTTATCAACGGAAATATTTATTTTTATGTACAACATGAAATTCCAATCTTGATAGCGGTGAGCCTTACGTCTGGTTTAAATCTACGATGGAAGCTACATGCAGGAGGTACACTGAATTACTATAAGAGATAAGTTTATCGATAATGAAAACCGTGTTTATGGTGACTAGGAATTATTGAAGCCTGAAAATGTCCTTTATTACGTTTTTAGCTGATGGTTAGACTTTCTGATGATCCGTAGAAATCCAAGTCGCACACTGTCTACAATCAAGCCTTTGTCTTCTGATTCTTAATACGTAAGTGACACTAAATCGTAATCAAAACAATGTTTGAATGAGGACAGTTACTCAGTGATGGTATTAGAAGTAGGTAGCGCTACTTCGTGAACTGACAGAAATAGAAATGTGGATCACTGGATTCCGACTCAGTGGCTCAGTGGTAACGTACTGGCCATAGAACCTGAAGGCCCTTGCTTCTATCCCTGGCGGGGCGGGTTCATGGGTGAGCACTGCCGAGGAGTCACATGCTAGGACGAAACAGCCGTCAAGTGCTCCTAGGTTTCCAATGTTCCTCCAGCTGGTGTTAGCTCATGGTGAATTCCACCCTAAAATCAATTAATAAACCTCCAAAAACCTCCAGATAAAATGTCCGATGAGTTGAGACCATAAGAACACCATTATTATTGGAGTAAAACTTGGGCACTGTGGTAGATTGTAATTCTATTATTTAACTAATAACTTCTCAGATGTAACTTATTTTCCATATTCATATGAAACATTATTCATTAAACAATACTTTTTCGTGTGTGGTGTTTCTAATAATCAAACTAAAATGGAACATAAGAACACCAATACAGACTAATAAATGCAAGTTCTTGACAAGAACAAATGTGGTTAGACTTGAGTTTACACAAAAATGAGTGCTTGTTACTATTACCGGAAGTTATCATCGAACGTTGTGCAAGGAAACAAAATCACTAAGTGAGCCACCTCAATTCTTAGAAAGTGGAATCTTTTACTAACATGAAGCCAAATTGTTCCTTCAGTTATAATTCTCAGTACGACTGACAGAAATCAAAGCTCTTCATTTTCAAATAACACCGAATACGTTATTTTAAGTCCCTGTAATGTTGCATTACTTAGCTGAGCGATGAAATATGAAAATATTCAGTATCTTTGTTGACCTGTCTGTGCGATCATGAAAATATATTTAATTTCATTTTGAAATAGTGGGTGACATCTATATTTGCTGCATAGTGAGACCACTTTACATCATATCAAATGGATAGTGGTTTCATGTTTACTACTACTTATCGAAAACCATGAGAAGTTTTATATTTCGGTTTTTGAAGCAAACTCCAGTGACAGTTAGAAATAACGTCAGACGTTTAGAGGACTCAAAAATTAAGCATTAAACCAGTCATAAAAGTACACTTGTTTACGCAAGTAACCCAATGTTTCCGAAGTTTGTTATCTGTTTGGACCGAAGTCTCTCAGTCAATGGATGCAGTGTAGACACTTAGATACACATGTGAGGCGCATAGGATACCGTGTTTATTCCAAGGCTAGGAAGCTGAGATTTTGTTATTGGCCTTAATTGTTTTAAAGCGAAATATAGTGAATGTTATCCCACTATGAATTG